GTGTGTGTGTGTGTGTGTGTGTGTGTGTGTGTGTGTATGTGCGTATGGGGCATCCATTAGCTGCCGAGGGCCTCCAAGGCTGAGCCTCATGACTTCCAGCTGTTATGCAGCCAAAATTTTGAGAATAACAAAATACTGAGTGGAAAGGATTTCAGATATGATATGTCACTGGTGAACAACTATTTAAGGATTACGTATATTTGCTTGATGGAAAACTAAAAGGTAATATTAACCATTCTGAATAGTTACTATGCTGCTTAACATTTGCAAATGTGGTTTCATCACATGGACAACATGTCTGTGAAGGTTCTCATCCAGGTGATGTAGTCTAAGGAGCTTGGAAAGGAAGCGTCTGGACTTCTTTAAGTTTCTTGAAGACCTTTCACCTCTCATCCGAGAAGCTTCTTCAGTTCTAGGAGCAATTGGTGGAGAGTCCCAGATTTTAAGCCCTACGGGAGTGTCCCCAAGAGGCTCATGGACCTCTTTGACTTCTATTATCGAGGCGATATCGAGGATGTCAGTGTTCACATTTTGGACAGAGAAGACTGATGGTTTGAAAGAGGAGTGAAAGAAGCCATCTGTGTCCACTGTGAACGACCATCTTTGAACAGAGGCGATGGCTTACGACACCTGTCTGCCATCTATAATCCAGTTTTGAGATCCCTGCTCAGATGCCTTAACCACTCCCACTCACATCCTGGGCCTTTTGACCTCAGGAAATCACATGATAGGGTGGGGCTAGACTTCACAGTGGGTTCACCCAAAACCCTGGGTGAAGGTGACACACACCCGTTTTCACACCTTCACTCGTGTGATTAGTTAGAGGATCAACAGGGGGTCCATGGCCCTCTTGGGGGACACCCCATAGGACTTAAAATCTGGGACTCTCCAGCAGTTGCTCTTAGAACTGAAGAAGCTTCTCGGATGAGAGATGAAACATCTTCAAGGAAAACAAAAGAAGTCCATGCACTTTCCTTTCAAAGCTCCTTGTACCACATGTACAACAGTTTCTTCAGATTACCTGTAAGAAAAAAAATAGGGCCCTGTATTGTTAACATATCCATTACAGTTCAACTTTGACCTTTTGTACTGACTGCGACACAGTTTTGGAAAACACTATATTTCAAGTCAAATGAACTTCTTAACCAAGATGAACATTAGCTCCAGACCAAATGTACATATTATATATTTATGCTGAAGTTAAAATACTCACGTGTCTCTTACCCATAAGAAGTGCAAAAAGGATAATTTATTACAGGAGACTGCTTACTGCCTCCCACTGGCAGTCATAGCTATAGTTCAACAACGACTATCATTATTCTCTAACCTTATACAAGAAAAAAAATGAGGTTCTGAAATAAGAATGGGCTTATAAGTGTTATTCTGCTGAGCAATTACAGTGTGTTTTGTTGTTTAATGTGCGAGACTTGTTTGGAGGATTAGACTGTCTGATTTAAAGCCTTTCTATTAACCTGACTGCTCATGTGTCTGGCACCTTTCGGATGTTATTATAGACTTGCAATCTTCCCGGATATCAGCAATAACTTTGATACAATACAAGATCATCATAGGTTACAGAAAATACAGCCAATGCTATAAAAATACAAGCCAAGTTTTAACAACCTGGAATTACCCTTTGAGGCATTACATCTTCAGTTAATTAACAGTACCCTGTATGTGACAGCATCAATTGATATACATTTATTTAAGAGCAGTCCTGAATAACAATATGAGCAAGTTGAACCAGTTCATATTAAAAAATAAATAAAGAAAGAAAATAGACAAGCGAGCTGAAAATCCTTGGATCTAAAGACTTTGAGGGTTTGGGGCCTCCTCTGCCCCTTTATTATACTGTTTTATTAAAATTCCCATTTCATCCAGTTCTCTGCTGCTCTTCAAAACAGAGCGTTTTCTGAAACCTAATATTGGCAGCAGGGCCTCGAGTGAGAAAACAAACCTGACGGTACTGGTTTTAGTGAGCGAGAGAGAGAAACAAGCCAAGAGTGAGAGAAAATGGAAGCAGACACGAGAGAGATGGAGTAAATCTCATCTAGAGGGAGATTGTTTCAGCGGTGTGGTAAAGGAGGATATTGTGGCTGAAATCTGACCTCCTGGCCAGTGGTGATGCTGCTTATGGGGGACGCTAATCCCAGGATGAGGTGTGCTGTAGCTGTAAGTCTCTAGAAAGGATCTGTGGATGCAGCAAGGCCACGAGCTCAAGTAAGACAGGCCCTATCCATTTTCTTTCTGCTCCTTCTTTTCCTTTTTCTCTCCCTTACAACATCAGGAAAAGAAAGCAGTGACCAACATTACTGGCTCTCAGCCAATCAGCTGGATGCAATTTATGACTAAATGATGTTGAGAGCTTCTCCAGGCCTTTGCAATGAGGGGTTTGCATGCTATGGGGGTATATGCATTCCTTGGGGTAGCTGAGGAGAAATCCTTCCTCTGGGTTGAAGGGGCTGAGAACAGGGGGGAGTTATAAGGGGCCAACATTCCTCACAGCACCAAAAATAGACCTTGAAGCTGAGGAGCAACTACATTAGCTGAGGCTATAATGTAGTTTGGCAAAGCAGGATACTTGAAGCTGTTGCTGTGCTCTGCTTATAAGCGTGTTCCTTCACAAAAGCTTTTACTTTGGCCTGTTTAATAAATTACAGAATACAACGGGCTGTGTTTGAGCAATGGTAAGCAATGTGAACTTGGAGTAAACCCCTGAAAAATTACAAAGAAAAGTTTTTTAATATAAGCCAAGTTGGAAAACTTAGAAACGGATAAAAGCAAAACTGACTCAATGCAATGGGACCGGGGCAGATAAACGACGACCTGAAGCATGCAGCATAAACATTCAGTGAAGCTTCTGTTCAAACAGAGATGAAAATCGCAGCAGATAAAAACAGCAGATCTGTGCGGACCAATGATGTAACCACACCTTTCCTAAAAGTAATACATGAAAGTAACATAGGTGAAATACTTACATCATGTGTTTTACATTCTTTTTCGCCATTCTGCGGTAACCTAATACTCCGATAATAACTTCATGTAAAAGCAGTCTCTAAAGTTCAGGTGGAGGGCTTAAAGCTTTTCCCTGCTGTTCTCCTAAAATGGTTGATTTCTTGGCCGTAAACGCAATCAGCCTTTTAAACATCGGCTACACACGTGCAAGACAGGGAACAAAATGATGAAAGGGTATACGTAATTTTGTACCGGTGAACGTTTGACATCTGAAACATCAAACGCTAAAGCAAAAGTTATGCTCTCTCAATACAGGGAAAATCAAGAAAGGAGCACCATTTGTTCCCTCAAAACAATGTCGAAGCAAGTGGAGAAATCTTATTACTGACTTTCCACATGCACACACACTTTTATAATGCATGCAAATGTGTTTTCTGATTTCTGTGGATAATCTAGTTTCTTGCCAGCGTACAGTATAAACACACTCCAAAATCTAAAACAAACAAAAACAGCTGCAAAAAATATCTTTAATAGGACTACATTTGGGGCGTGTATGCTTGCATTTCAAATTCGAATTTGCCAGTTAACATTTGTGCATGCTTTCGCACATGCAAATGCTCCTTATTACAGCTGTATAAACAATGGACCACGTATACTCAAACATGAAGATCAGACAGCAATCTGACAACTTGAGCTTACGAAAATGTCCAACCTTTCAACACAGAATTTCCAATGTAGAAGGCATACGAAATTGCTAATGGGCTCAATAACCTTTCATTTTTTTCCTATGGTCACTTACCTGCCAACACCACAAATAACTTCATAGTACTTATTTGAAAAAGTGGTCCAACTCTAAGAATTGGGGAAATAATAGTCCAACATCTGCTTTATGGTACAGTACTCTATTCGAAAGCCTATAAAAGCATTGTGAGTGGATGCATTTGCTAAACTGGCAGCTTTAAGGGAAACTGATCTTACTTCACTTGATTTACCTGGATCAGTTAGTGTCATTTTCTTTGTGGCACAAAACGAGAAAAGAAAAAACCCATGCATGGTTTCTGAGGTACTGCACAGTTTTCGGACCTTTCACTTAAACAAAATATACTGATCAGTATCAAAAATTTTATACAGAATATGCATAATATTCTGTCCAAACTCTGGTGGCGATAATGCTTTACTGTATAGTTGACTCACTTCTTGCAGTGGCTGTACTCAGAGCAGCGGCTCAGCGGCACACGGATCACGCAGCTTGAGAACGCCACAAACAACGCATGATGATCCCGGTCCAACTCAAGCCCCAGGACCCTCCTATCCTCCCCCTGCACATTGCACCTGGGAACACGGAAAAACACCAACTGTCACAATCAGGCATTTTGTATTTCGTTTCATTTTTAAAATCAGCGCTGTACACGGCTGGTTCAGTCTGAAAATTATACAGAAAGCCGACTGTGAATCAAACTCCATGCAGATAGATTTTTCAAGCTGTGCAGCAAGAAAACAAAAGAATACATGGGGAAAAAAAAGCATCCCCTCCAGCTGTACAGGGTGATGCAAAGTGTTACAATAGACCAAAGAGTGGGTGGGCAGGACAGATCAAGGCAGAACAAGGAGAGGAGGAGAACAAGCAACAGAGAAGGAAAAGAACAGAGATGTGCTAAGTAAAGTACAGAGAAAGCAAAAGAAATGAAAAGAGAGAGAGGAATAAACCAAAGAGACAATTACAAGAACACGCATCGTTTAATACAGAAGCAACACGACACATAATAGACTTTGTCTCACTTGTTAGGGTTATAGACATCAAGGTCCTCCAGGAGCTGGGTGCTGAAAGATGCGTTGGCTCCCTCAGTGCTGGCCAGGATCTTCAGCACATGGCCATTATCTGACCCGAGGAAGACTACCGTGTAGTTCTTATATGGCCCTGCAGATGTATCCACTGCAATCTGAGTCAACTTGAACCTGCATTAAAAAAACAAGACAACAAGACAAAGCGACTTACATCTACACTGAAGATCATCTAAATTTAAGCTGTCATGTCACTTGCTTGCATAAATTTGTGGGCGTCAACAACACCAAATGCTCTGGTTAGCATCTTATTATTGCTTCTTTGTTTTATGAAAGTAGAGTTTCAGTGGTAAACAAAACAAACAGTGGGTGAGTACTAAGCTCATTGTATAAAGCATCAGTATAAAATCAGTCACTTCATCTACCAACCCACCATCCCCTTCCTTCATCGCCTACATCTTTTAAAGCCTTCATCCTATCAATTCATCTATCCATCTATCCGCCCACCCAGAGCCATTCAATCGATCCATTCTTTGTGTTGTTGAGCCACTTTTCTATGCAGTCTTGCACAGAGGCCCGGTTTTCTATTTTCTGGTTGTATTTGTGTGAAAGTCCAGCAACACGCTGCTTTATTTGGAGTGCCACCCTGCTTCATATTCATCCAGCTTCTCGCAGTTACACCTGGGAGGTGCCCAGTGTCACCACAGCTGTCTACTGTTGGCTCCACTGGAGCAGGTGAGGATTAAAAGCTGTGCTGAAGGGCACCTTGAGTCCAGTGGTGGCTGAGAGGTGGATAGGCTTAACTCATTCATTTTCTCTGCTGTATTTCCATTCTCTGGCCCGGGGATTTAAACAAACAAACTTCCTCTAATAATTTCTTTGGCATTGCAGTGCTTCTAGATTCTTATAAAAAGGACACCCGCAGCAACTTCTGTGCCCTCACTTCTCCCTCAGTGCCTCCCAGATGGTCCCACAGAGGCTGGTGTGTTTACCCACATGAACTTGACGGGCACGTCCCCGCAATGACTCGGCAATAGCGCGTGATGCGCTTCTGGTTAGATTTCATTTATCTAGCATCACTCTGGGGATAGGCGAAGCAGATGTGATGTTTTTGGCGCCAGATGTGAAGCGGTGCATGTTTCCCCAGTGTGGAGCCACTGCAGTGTCTGGCTGGCTGTCAGCCTGGCTCTGTTTCAGCAGGCGTGGACAAGGCTCCTGTATACTATGAGACTGTGCCTGCGGTTGTAAGTTGAATCGGTGATATGTATCCGCTGTGAGTACATACATGTCTGAGGTTTGTGAGCTACTGCGTGAAACACTTGTGACACTTTTCACCAATTGAACATTCACTGCATCGTCATCTGGTATGAGTGGACTCTCAAATATCACAACACACACACACACACACACACACAACAATGACGTCCTCCCTTTGACAGGTGGGCTGTGGAGCTAGGCCAGCCCTACAGACAAGTCCTCTCCTTGTGCCCCCTTCATGTTTGATGTAAATCCAGTGTTGAAAAAAATTCAATGTGCTTTAATGGCAAGCAAGGTAGTGTGTTCCACTTGAGGTCACTCATCAATACCAATCACGGTTGCAAGAAAAACACTGCTGGTACATGATGCTGTGAAGGCAAACAGCCACTAAAGTACCAAAGAAATAATCCTGGCATTTTCTCCTAAAGGTCTGTTTTATAACTGCAGCCATGTTCTGAACAGCAACACTCACGGTAATGATTTTAAATGTGATCTAATGACAACGTTCACCAAAAAATACCTGACCATTTGAGAGGTCTTGAGGAATAACTTTGCATTTGTTTTCCAGGTGTTGATGCACTAAGTACAGGAAATGAAACCAAAGAGCTTATGCAAGTCCTCCTTTAAATGTCACCAGTTTTTATTGTTTAAATAATTATAGCAGGCATTTCTTTGTAATTCTCAGCTGTCTGATAGACCTGCAACGCTAAACCTATTGTCTGTTTTAACCGAGGTGGAGTAGCACCTTGGACAACTCGCCCGTCTGTTAAAGCACACATTAACATAAACACACAACCACTCTCTCACATCTACATCTATGGTCATTTAGAGCCACCAGTTAACATAACATACATGTCTTTAGTCTGTAGGAGAATGTAATTCTTAACTCAACACTTCACAAGTTTGTGCAGATGCTGGCAGGTGCCAACTGCCTTTTGTTAGTGAATTCCAAGTGCATATACTGCCATCAGAAAGTGACTGAAGGTAATTTAACAAAAATATTTTTCATAATCCTTTCCATCTGTTCTCTTATTGAAACATCTTCTACCTGCTGGTGGTGCGGGTGAAAAAGGGTCGGTCGTTGACGGAGGGGACGGACTCATCCATGAGCGGATAAGACTTGATGAAAGTCAGAGTTTCGTCAGGGAAATTGGTGGATGACTTGTAGGCGGCGGCTGATCCCTCGCCAGCGCAGCAGCCTGGCCTGCACGACAACAGCAGAGCGAGAGAGAGAGAGAAAAAAAAAAAAAAGCATTAGACATAAATCTGGTTCCACAGGCAGATGTAAAAACACTGGCAGCTGTTTGTTTTTGGGAGGAGCAGGAGGAAAAAACAGGTGCCTTGTGTGGCTGCCTTTTTTTAAGAGATGTCTGTGCAGAACAATAACAGCAACAGCTGCAAAAGCTCTGTTGTCAAAAGCAGAAAAAAATGTTCTAGGAAAGTGACAGTTTCTATTTAAAGATGAGTCTCTCACCTTGGTTTTGGGACTTGCTCCTCTGGAACAGGTGTCCAGGCTGACTCACTATTCTTCTGCTCTTTAAATTTACCACTGAAGGCCTTCTCTATGTCATCCATGTAGAAAGCACAGACTGCTGAGCCAGTGATGCTGTTAAAAGGACCCCAAAAGAAGACTTTACAAAGAGCAAGACAAAAGTCTGGAATTCACCAACTAAAGACAAGAATTCAGCCCACTGACTTCCTGTCACAAGTGGCCAGAAATATGATTTTTGATTGCTCTGTCTGTGCTCGTCTTTACTACTTCTAGTATATGTCAAATATTCTTACCTCTTTCTAACCCTCTACAGTGTAGATACGATACAAGGAAAAAAAACAGAACAGTCTCCATATTGCAGAAGTTAAAAATGCATCCATCCAGAATTACATACTAATAGCTTGTACTGTATGTTTTCATGGAAAGCAGTGAATGACTTTGATCCTCCCAGCTGCTTTGACATATGAACTCCAGACAATCATGAAAATCACGTTGTGATATTATCAGATGTTGCTCTTTCTCGCAAAAACAAAAGTTTTCTCTGTCAGAGAATAGTGAGGCTCCAGCAGAGCGCAGGGGGCAGAACATATAACTGATCTATTCTCAATTAGAAAAAGCTGGCTGCTTAAACTCAGTTTAATACCCGATCAGACTGATTTGAACATTTGTGTCTGCCACAAACAACTCTGCTGGGTGATGTCTGTAAGAGTTTAGACCTGCAGAGCATGATAGGGAACTGCTTCCTGTTTGTCAATGACATTCACTGAAAGCCAAAAAGTGCATCAGAATAGTGTAAATTGCTATTTTGGCTCAGCGCCGTTTCAGAAGACGCAGAAAAGTGAAAAAAAATATTACTAGTGATAGCATCTGAGATACCGCTCATGTAGTACCTTACAAGTAAGTTACATCGCAGAAAACAAACATTTTCTGGATTAACTTTAGCGAAGATGTTTTTGTTTATCGAATTCTGTAACATTTCATTGTTAACAGGTCAAATTTGCAGATCACGTAAAAGAGGTTTAAACAAACGTGACTAGAGAGAAATTATCACACTAGCTACTAACTAACTATAACATGGACATTTCAATTTCATCTTTACCTTGAAAAAAACATGAAAAAATGCCAACCTATTTGCCTGTGTGGTGAAGACTCCGAGCACAGTCGGCCGGTGGTTAATCTGGAGTACATTGGTGAGAGACTGGAGAACATCAAAGTAGAAAAAAGAATCACCAGGAACAGAACAGTTCAGCCGAGCTTTAAGAAATGATGTCCAGTAACGTTCCAGCACCCTCGGGGAGCCCCCATTGTCGTTCTTACAAACACGTGCAACCCTTGAGAAAACCACCTGAGGGGACAGGAGTGGAAATCATTTATAATCACTACACTCAGACGCAGCCGACACGGAATACTGAACAGCAGTCAGGAATGTGCTCTGCATGTTGACTTCGAGCAGAAACGACAACAAGCTTAAACAACACACAACACAAATTTGTGGAGTGTCTGCTCTGAAATGAGTACCTCACCTTGCCAAGAGTGGTGTACTCCACTGCGATCTCGCTGAAGAAGAAGTACACGTAGTTCCCATACTCAATGGCATGGAGGAAATGGGGCTCTGTAGAGGACAAGAAAAAAATGGTAATGATGACTTATTTCCAGTATGACAGGCTGGACGTGGAGCTGGTAAACACAGATGTTCAATTTGGTTTATAAATCGTAGATAAATGTGAAATGCCTGAGCTCTAAAATGGAAAATCCAAATTTTAGCAGAGAAAAATGTCCTTCCAATTCTTCCAATAACAGATCCTTATTCGGGTGAAATAGCAGAGATAGTCCTGCATCAGTAGTGAAATAAAGATAACTTAAAACATTCTGCAACAGCACTTTCTACAACTCTGAATACAGCTTACTTTGCCATTTCTATCTTGTCACAAGCAATTGCTTTACTGAAACGACCCCACTCGCTCAGCGCTGTTAACGAGGATAAAAAAAATAATCTATTGCACATAAAGATAATATAGCTAAAACAATTAACGCCAAATTAATTGCCAATTATTGTGATGATAACAATCAAACATTCTTATTACTGGAAGGTTGATTCGGCTCCGTTTTCCTCCCAGATGAGGAAAAGTGATTGTTTCTTTCCTCCCTTTTGAAATCAGATGAAATTAAATGCATAAAGAAAGTGACACATAACAAGTCAAGATACTCTAGCCATCTTTTTCACTTCACTGGATGAGGCTACTCACATCTGCGATGAAGTGAAAAATACCCTCATTAAGTGACAAAATATTTGTTGGTATCAGTGCCAATAAAAACTAAAGGGGAGATTTTGACAAATGAAACTGATGTTTATTAATTATTTGTAACGGCTCG